GGCTACTATTAACTTAGTTTTAGTAATGCAAAAACCTCTCTGAAACGTTACCTTTCCTGTAAAAATGTAAAATGTATCTTACATGTAAAATGAAACAAATGATACCAGAAGACAACAATCTGGTATCTTAAGGAACTTCATGAGAAAAAAATCCATCAGCTAACCACAAAACACATCCTCTTCAAAAAATTGTATGTTCTGTTTTATCTCGTCATGCATTGTAATAAAAACATATTATCTGTTATATTCATGCAACATGTACATTCTTAATACTTTTTTTACATGTTTAGAGATGTTTATAAACTAAAAGAAATCAAATATGAAGAGCCTAGTAGCATCTTTTCAAACTATAGTAACAATGTTAATTTAAAGATATTAGCTTTAATGTTATTACCTTTAAAATCCTACATTGCTTGGGGTCAAGTTATTTGAAAGACTGCCTCTCCAAAATTATATCTACGTGATCCACCAAGGGCAGGAAGGAAAGGCATGTTGTGGGCCTTATCCATTAAGGTGGTACACATACCTGGTGGGATCAAGAAAAAGGGCCTTCTCAGTTGTGGCCCTTTCCCTATGGAATATCATTCCCCCAGAGATAAAATTGGATGCCACCTTGTCACTTTTCTGTAAAGCCTGAAGACATAGTTCTGTCTGCGGGCCTGGGGACCACACGCTGATATAGAGCCAATCAAATGGCTAATGTCGTGTATGTGTGAGGTTTTATGTTATGGTTTTTAATGCATTAATCTTCCCTTGAGTCACCATGTGTGAATTGGGCAGCCATATACATTGTTTAATAAGTAATAATTAATAAATAACACCTTGTCAGTCTGAAAGGGTATGACCAGTCTCCTCATGATTATTGATTATTATAGACTGGCATTCCTGTTATCTTAAAATATCAAGAGGATTTTAAAATCAATGCAGATTTTTATAAGTCAATAAAAAAAACAAGTAAGCAACAGAAGCGATTTCTTAATGAAGGTTTTCGCAATATAGCAACACCTCTGTAAAATCCCTCTTCTTCACTGAACCAGCTTCACTTATAGTAGTACTCATAAAAACCCAATCAGATGACTGAACCATATTCAGAAGCTAGTAAGTGTGGTTTAAATTTCTGGGACCCAAACCATTTAGTACTTGGAAAGAAGTTCTAGTACTTGAAATAGATAAAAAGAACAAAGAAACAGTAAAATGATTTGAAAACTGGCAATATATATTATTCAATAATTATGTCATAGTTTCATGGAAGTTCATTAATCTCAATAAAATTTATACGATGNAAAAAAAAAAAAAAAAAAAAAAAGGAAAAACGTGATGAAGTACAGGCAGTCCTGGACTTACAACAGTTCGCTTAGTGACTGTTCGAAGTTACAATGGCACTGAAAAAAGTGCCCCCCAAGCCACAGCCGAGCAAGACACCTGCCTGCCCACCCGGCAGGCGCTCTTCCTCCTGTCTGTGGTTTTCATTGTTGTGAGCATTTCTGTTGAGGATTGGCAGTGGGGGTGGGGTGGGGGGGTGTTTGGTTTTTATTCCCCCCCCGTCTGCTGGGTGGTTGCAGCAAGTTTTGGTCACTTCACATGACCCTGGGACACCATGACCGTCATAAATATGAATCAGTTGCCAAACATCTGAATGTAAATCACAAGACACTGAAGATGCTACAACATTCCAGCTGATCGGTGCTTCTTCTGGCCTCAGAAGCGCCAGGATCAGTGCTGCTTTCCAGCTGGAGCCTGTCGCTGATCCTTGCGCTTCCGCTGAGCCGTGACGGCCCAGAAGAAGAGCTGATCAGCTGGAAAGCGGCACTGATCCTGGCACTTCCACTGAGCCCTGACAGCCCTGCAGCTCCAGCCGTTTCTCGCTCAGGCGTGTGCGGTGCTGCCACTGGTTCAGCTCATTCCCCTATCCCGCTACCACTTTTTCTAGGATGGTCGCGTACCACCTGCCAGATTCCAATGTACCACAGGTGGTACCCGTACCACTGGTTGAAAAGCCCTGTTCTAAGCAACATTTTCAGGATGGATTAAAAAATGAATTCAGATTTTTAAAAATCAGGCTTAGTTTTCTTGTGACTCCATCTTTAATTAGTGACTGTTCAATTAGTGACATTATGGTACAGTATAGATTGATAAGTTGTGAGTTTGGACATCATGATTAATAAGCTTCAAGATGTATTTATATAAATGTGCACAATCCTGAAGTAGGAATAGTAAATGAGTTCTCTACATGTTAGTTAGCTAAACTTTGCAAAGTTTCCCCTTCCAGGCTGATAAAACCAGAAAATGATATGATTACAAAACCAAAATAAAAGATAGCATCATTCTCTTGTTGTCTCTGAAGTGGGAGGCCATAGTCTTACATTTGAAAGTCACCCTTAAAGATATTTTTGTAATGTATTTGTGTAATTATTTTAAAATGTTTTTATTTGCTTTCATCTCCGCAGCTAACTTATGTAAACCTCTAAAATTAAAATCTCATCCTTCCAAAGTATTTCTGTAAATTTATTTTGATTTGCAATTGTTTTCATATTGGTTTCTGAATCAGGTGTTTTGGTTTTTTCTTTTATTCCCAGTAACTATGGAAAAAGTTCCTGCAGCTTTCTTAGCAAGATTTTTTGAAACATAACAGCAGAAACTGGCAATACTTTGATCGCTTAAGAGTGCGCTTGGTGGTGGCTACTATTAACTTAGTTTTAGTAATGCAAAAACCTCTCTGAAACGTTACCTTTCCTGTAAAAATGTAAAATGTATCTTACATGTAAAATGAAACAAATGATACCAGAAGACAACAATCTGGTATCTTAAGGAACTTCATGACAAAAAAATCCATCAGCTAAACCACAAAACACATCATCTTCAAAAAATTGTATGTTCTGTTTTATCTCATCATGCATTGTAATAAAAACATATTATCTGTTATATTCATGCAACATGTACATTCTTAATACTTTTTTTACATGTTTAGAGATGTTTATAAACTAAAAGAAATCAAATATGAAGAGCCTAGTAGCATCTTTTCAAACTATAGTAACAATGTTAATTTAAAGGTATTAGCTTTAATGTTATTACCTTTAAAATCCTACATTGCTTGGGGTCAAGTTATTTGAAAGACTGCCTCTCCAAAATGATATCTACGTGATCCACCAAGGGCAGGAAGGAAAGGCATGTTGTGGGCCTTATCCATTAAGGTGGTACACATACCTGGTGGGATCAAGAAAAAGGGCCTTCTCAGTTGTGGCCCTTTCCCTATGGAATATCATTCCCCCAGAGATAAAATTGGATGCCACCTTGTCACTTTTCTGTAAAGCCTGAAGACATAGTTCTGTCTGCAGGCCTGGGGACCACACGCTGATATAGAGCCAATCAAATGGCTAATGTCGTGTATGTGCAAGGTTTTATGTTATGGTTTTTAATGCATTAATCTGCCCTTGTCACCATTTGTGAATTGCGCAGCCATATACATTGTTTAATAAGTAATAATTAATAAATAACACCTTGTCAGTCTGAAAGGGTATGACCAGTCTCCTCATGATTATTGATTATTATAGACTGGCATTCCTGTTATCTTAAAATATCAATAGGATTTTAAAATCAATGCAGATTTTTATAAGTCAATAAAAAAAACAAGGAAGCAACAGAAGCTATTTCTTAATGAAGGTTTTCACAATATAGCAACACCTCTGTAAAATCCCTCTTCTTCACTGAACCAGCTTCACTTATAGTAGTACTCATAAAAACCCAATCAGATGACTGAAGGTATAAGTCTTCGATCATTCACACCAAATTTAAAGACCCTGGGTTTGGTAAATCATGAACCTTTCTTCAAGATCATGAACTTTATCTATTTTTCTTGTTTCTTTGTCATTTTACTAAACTTTTGACCGTTATATATAATAAGTTATTAATACAGTATCAAAGTACCTTCAAGTAATTAGAGTTATTTTAAATATGCTACACTGTACAAATTGCTTTGTGATCATCAAACAAAACATTATCTCAGCTATGGTATTTTTTTTGAAAAATAAAGTTACAGAATAAATTTAGTTACAGTTAAATTAATATAATTTGCAATTAATTTTATTTTAATGGAATATATTAATCTTTGAGAGAGAGAATATTCAAGATGTTTAGGGTGAGATACCACCCTAAACGTGCTAATATATTACTAGAACCATAGGCTGAACAGAGTCATGGATCTCGCCCCCCAAAATGCTCTGAGGACAGGATGATGCATACATGGCAACATCTTAAAGTAGCCACTTAAAGTCTGTCTATTCTAAAAATGATAACATGATGTAATATTCCAGAATGAATAAGCTTTAAAAATTTAATTAATTTTAATTGTTAGCTATGGTTATTATAAATGTTTTTGTTAATTTGTAACAATAATAATAATAATAATAATAATAATAATAGTAATAATAATAGTAGTAGTAGTAGTAGTAGTAGTAGTTGGAAGGGACCTTGGAGGTCATATTTTGGTAACATTTTAATCAGTATCAGTATCATGCTGTAATTTTTTGTCTTTCATCAATTAGTAAAAAATTAAAATGTATGTGTGTCACAGAAAGATACTACTACATTTCCTCTCCAATGCACTCTGAAACATCTTTTGGAATCTGAAGTATTGGCCAATGCTTATCAGAAAGATGTACGTGCTAAGATAAAACTTTGAATCACACCAACTATGCACATTTTTAAGGAAAATCTTTGGGCTTGGTCTCTTCCAAAGGAGTACAATCTTACTTAAAAATGGTTCTTGACCTCCGTCTGTATTGGCAACTTTGTCAATCTATAAAATCCTGTTCTCATTAGAACTAAATGTAAGCTTATTTGCCCAAATCTATGCCAGTAACATACTTCATTTTGCAGCTTATTTTTTTCTTCTAGCTCTAATTTATGAAACTTAACACATCATAAAATACACCCAAACCACCATTCTCAACAATTTATAATTATACTCTATTTTTCTGTCAAAATAGCACAATGTACTTTACCAATTAGCTTCATCTTGGCACTGTAGCTTCCAAAATATCTTTCATCAGTGGTTGGAGTATGACATTCATACTCGCCAGCATCCCTGTCTTGGAGCTGTCTTATGTGCAGCAGAACATAATCCCCTTCAACTCTCTCCACATAGATTTCTCCACTCCTAACACGTTGAGTATAGATTGCATAAGGGAAGGATGGGTCCATGGTGCTGACAATCTGTACTTCCCTTTCTGGAGAAGATGGAAGATATATGGACCACTGAAAATTCTGTTGTGATGGTCCTTGATAACCGCTGACCTTGCACCAAATGGTGATGTGAGAATTTTCTGTGCGGTATAGAGGCCCTTCTTGAACAGTGACTTGACGCTGTGCAAATGACCACCCTAAGAAGAAAAAAAGAAGTTAAATTTATTAACTGCAGTATATTCCATTTTGGTTTATAGTTTCAAAGTACACCACTCATATTTTTCAAAAGAAGAGAAACAATAATATATAATCACTTGTAAAGACAAATGATGATATTTTGTCAAGACCAGGATTGGAAATAGCTCTATTTCCAATTAAGTCATAAAATAACATCAAAATATATTCTTATTCAGAAAAAGATATAAAACACATATCTGAATACAATGTTTTCCCATTCCCTCTACAATGCTGAATTGTTTAATATATCTGAATCTTTAAATTTTTTTAATGGAAAGTGTAGTAAGATTTAACAGAAGAAATAATCCTCAATGGAACACCAAGATGCTTCTGGACCGTTTATAATGCTACTAATCAAGATACATTTCCTCCAGTTTAATGGATTTTATTTGTTAAAATGTAAGGGGAAAAATGGAGAAAGAACTCTGCATCTTGGCCTAAATGCTTGAGGAAAAAAACCAGCTCTTAACAGTTTTTGGGAAAACCAAGACGGTTGGGAGGAGGTGTTTCGTAAGACAGGCACTGCAATAGGAGTCACACATTCAATTCCACACACTGTTTAATAGAGGGGACCAGGAACACATCCACCATTGTGGGTCTGCGGGAATAGGCAGAAATCTTTGGGAAGAGAGATGGTCCTGGAAGTAACCTGGCCTCATGCAATGCATGGCTTTAAAGGAGAGTGCTGACCCCGAGTCATCTCACCTAAGAGTGGCCTAATGTCAGTCTTCTCCCCTCCTATCAATACTAACTGGGACTCAGAAGAAGGAAGAGAACCTCTGCAAAACAGTGCCCTCCACTTCTAACCCCTAAAACTGGTCCCAAATGTCATCATGGCTATTGAAAGATCTGGGAGGACACCACTACATATAGCCCTCTGAGCTCTTCCAAAGTTATCCAAAAGCATAACCAATTCTATTTCAGCCTGAAACTCAACTGAAAAGAGTCCAGGTAATCACTTCTTACAAGCCCCTCAGAATCTAGCTACCCACCATTATTAATGCCTAATAAAACGTGGACCAATTTCACCTGAAAAGCAATTCTTGATTGTTCATACTTCTGATCCCTTTAAGAGAACTATGCAAGCACAGGTGTTATGCATGTTTTCAATGAAATAGCAGAAAAAGAAAATGTAACATTTATGGACATAGATGCTAATACCAGTAGTTTATACATGACTTTTTTCCAGAAACAAGTTAGGACTACAGACTAAAACATATTTGTTTCTATTAATCACATTTTATGTCCTTGAGAGTAAGTCTCCTGAATTACTTTTTAATAGAAACATTGGACTAAGACGGTTTTGTATTTTTTAAAAACACAACTACTGTTTGGGCATGCCAGAGATTGCACATGACAGCTTAAGCTTTGTTATAAAAGCTAGAATTAAAACTGGAGATTTACATTAAATAGATTTCCCCATGATCTGCAACAAGCATAAAGCTTGAAAGAATCTGGCAGATCTGATAGACTTCCCTCTTGGCAATCAGGATATGAAACAATCTCTTGGAGCTCTGATTAGTAGCATTTATTAGAAAGATTAAGGTTACACACAAAAAGATCTATTGTTAAATGGAAATTTATATTTAGGCAATGTAAGGCACAAGATTGGTCTTTCTCACACTTTTTAATGCAAAGGGAATGGAAGGAGTTTGTGACAGTTGGAACACTTTGTATTTGTCAATTGTTTTGGCAATTGTTACTGCTAGTCTTATCAGTATGAGATATTATTCTCATATTTCCTTCCTACCAGCCTAGTCCCAACTCCATATTCTGACTCACTTCTCATAAAAATGTTAAAGATCAGGAATGTTTAACCATTTTTAAAGGTGATGTGTTTGCTTTAATCTGCAAAAGAACATAATGGAAATTCAGAAATGGCAACAAGTATTTGTCATCTCTTTGGACTACACTTCGTCAAGAATTAGACTCTCCAGGAATGCTACTTCACTCTTATAAAATATAATAACAGAATCTTGAGTGCCTGTTCAAGTTTCTTTCGATCCAACTAAACAAAAACAAGGTCAAGTTATTTTGAGTTTATTTCCTCTCACTTGCTTCAATGTCTGAAGTATATGCAGCAATCTACTTTTTAAATGTTTCTTTCTTTCTCATCTCTTCCACTTAATAGTTCATTCCACCATTTCCCCCCTTAAAAGCTCTTTCATAACTTTCCAAGGTCAGCTCTAAATTCCTTTACACTAACCCACAACTGTGTTTATGGTGAATTTAACATAAAAAAACACTAGATTTCACACAGCCAATAAATGCAGTGCATAGTTACCATGACCATCTGTCATGTTGAAAAGCCAGCACCCTTCACTTAATTGGAAATGGTTCTGCTCAGTTTGTTATTTTTTATACAGCGCAATAGTTTATGAAGTAAAAAAAACCTCCATTTCTTAGCACAAGAAATTTGTAAACTAAGCATATAAATACTATGCTAAAGTCAGCTCCTCTTTTACCCTTATTAAGAAAACTCCAGTCTGTCTTATCAGCTAAAACTATATTTAATTAAAAAAAACATTTTCTCTGTGAATTGAAACTTTAATGTGATGGGAGAGCCTAGTAGTTTTAATGACCCTGAAAACATTGCTGATCAGAGGGTGTTGCCCTGATAGTGTCATCTTTTCCTGTTAAGTTACAAGAGGTGTGTGAAACTGAAGCTAATTCACACAGCAGGGGTGCAGGTAGATGTGACAGCAACTAATCTATTTAGGAAAAATTAAATCCAGAAAATACAACAGCAAGCCATTTCTGCGATGTTCAGAAAATTGTACAACTATGGGCAAAACATTTAGTTACAATATGCTAAAGTGCCAAATAATGAAATCTTCAAATTAATGGAAAAGAACACTAAACTTGCACAGATAAATCTGAAAGAGATGATGTCATCAAACTAAAGACAGCATAATGTTATTTTTAGAACTCAGGAAAGAATCAAATTCTTATCAATGGACATTCTTTTGCTATCTGTTAATGGAACAGCCTCCTCAACAGTTTTTATAGCTATTTAAGAAACTGAGATAGTTTTTGCCTTAAGAATCTAGGAGGGAAATTGAATTCTAAAGAGAAAAAAATCCATTTACGGAGAGTTCTGTAATCTTATCCTACCCTCTTTCAATAAATCTTAGTTGTTAAGATGGAATAATCAAGAACTTTATAGTTGCAAGGAAGTTTGATAATTGAAATTTCAACATAGAACTCTAATCTACATGGATGATCCAATGATTATTTTGCTCAATGTGGAATTAATTCTCTATATTTTGCACAGTATATAAAGCCCCCTTTCTTTGGTACTGGCATGTAAACTGATCTTACTTTGCCATGAATTACTGTTGAAATATATTCAGTACAGGTATTTTATATGAAAAATAATCAAAGAATCCATGTAAAGGGATGAAACAATTATGAAAACGAAAACAGAAAAATATCCACAATTTTATAAATAAAAAGATCCAAGCAAGTTGTATACAGAGTTATCATGCAGTGAAAGCAGAGGATGAAAGCTTACAACTGACTACTGATCAGGCAGACCAGGGGTCCCTAACCCCCGGTCTGTGGACCAGTACCAGGCCGCGGCATGCCAGCAACCGGTCCGCACAAACAAGCAAAGCCCCATCCACAGGATGCAAGTAGCACACAAAACCATGCACCCTCCGGTCCGCGAAAAAAACCTCTCTCCACAGAACCGGTCCTGGGTACCCAAAAGATTGGGGATCTCTGAGGTAGATCATACTAGGAATTAACTCCATGGAAGGCTAAACTACTTATATGAGAGTAAGTAGTTATAATAGAATCTAGTAAGTCAGATTGTGATATACCTCCTACCCTTCTTATGTGAATTATGAAGTTCTCTGGCTGAGCTTCCTCCACATATTTTCTGCTTGTTGTGGACGCAAAGCATGCTTTTTCCCGCCCACTGTGGCTTTGGTAATGGATCTTTCCTACTGTATATTTATCAAGGTAATCTTTCTTATCTTCTACACTGGAACTAAATTTCAAGTAAAAAAAGGACAAGGAAAAGTATGATAATCAAGAATGTCAACAAGCAGAGCTCCACTAGAAAGTGAAATACAAAAGACAAACGACCACTTATTAAACAGAAAAGTACCTAACGTAGATGAAATCTCCATCAAACTATGTAAAGAAGCAGGATTATTAAATGTACAATTACAAGCAAAAATCTGGAATTAGAACTGGACAACACAATATTAATAGTTTGAGAAATGCAGATATCTAAATGGAAAATAAATATCTAGATTAATGTTAAATAGTAAGAAGGTAATGTCAAGCAATATGCTTAGTAAATTTACAGTTGACAGTTCAAAGCCATGAAGTGAAGATGATAAAGATCTTTACACATTTGTTTTCTTGAGCTCAAAAATAAAGATGAATGTGCTAAGGAAGGAGTAGATTAATTCTTAAAAGGAGGGCAATAATAATCTTAGATAAAATAATGAACTGGAAATATTTTTGTGACAATATCAGAATAATTAAAGCAATGCTTGTTCTAATGGTAATGTTATAAAGCTATACTATGTGAAAGAGTAATATAAAAAAGCAGATTTTTTTTAAAGTTGTAGATTTGGAGACAGCTGCTGTCATGGAAAGAAATGCTAAAAGAACCAATCAATCAGTTACAGATTAACAAAGACAGACTGGTTTGTAAGGCAACCATCATCAAACAGAAACATATTTTGGCATGTGATGTAAGCAAGAGATGAGACTAGGAAAACCAAAGTTGACAAGGTTAAAATAAACAGAAAAGTGGAAAGACTACAAATAAGGTGGATAGATAGAAGCAAGATAGCACCGGAAAGTATCTTGTATCTTTGGCTGACAGGAACACTTCAAGATAATGGTTATTTGTCTATGTAGTATTCCCAGAACTGAACCCTACTTGAGAGTGCAGAACTGAAATATTTTGGTCCTATTATTAAGTTCAGATTTGTACATT